AATTTCGACCCGAAAAAAAAACGACAGTGTTACCCCTTACGTTTTTTTTTTTTTGGGCGAAAAATTAAGTATCCCCAATCTTCTCAAAACTCTGGATTCTGATAGAGGGCCATGAGACTTAGACCTGAGTGCAACAATGGAGGCTCTAGACCCTTCCAGAGCTGAGATATCGAAACTCAAAATTTCGACCCGAAAAAAAAAAGACAGTGTTACCCCTTACGTTTTTTTTTTGGGGGCGAAAAATTAAGTATCCCCAATCTTCTCAAAACTCTGGATTCTGATAGAGGGCCATGAGACTTAGACCTGAGTGCAACAATGGAGGCTCTAGACCCTTCCAGAGCTGAGATATCGAAATCAAAATTTCGACCCGAAAAAAAAAACGACAGTGTTACCCTTACGTTTTTTTTTTGGGCGAAAAATTAAGTATCCCCAATCTTCTCAAAACTCTGGATTCTGATAGAGGGCCATGAGACTTAGACCTGAGTGCAACAATGGAGGCTCTAGACCCTTCCAGAGCTGAGATATCGAAAATCAAAATTTCGACCCGAAAAAAAAACGACAGTGTTACCCCTTACGTTTTTTTTGGGGCGAAAAATTAAGTATCCCCAATCTTCTCAAAACTCTGGATTCTGATAGAGGGCCATGAGACTTAGACCTGAGTGCAACAATGGAGGCTCTAGACCCTTCCAGAGCTGAGATATCGAAAATCAAAATTTCGACCCAAAAAAAAAACGACAGTGTTACCCCTTACGTTTTTTTTTTTTTGGGCGAAAAATTAAGTATACAAAATCTTCTCAAAACTCTGGATTCTGATAGAGGGCCATGAGACTTAGACCTGAGTGCAACAATGGAGGCTCTAGACCCTTCCAGAGCTGAGATATCGAAATTCAAAATTTCGACCAGAAAAAAAAACGACAGTGTTACCCCTTACGTTTTTTTTTTTGGGCGAAAAATTAAGTATCCCCAATCTTCTCAAAACTCTGGATTCTGATAGAGGGCCATGAGACTTAGACCTGAGTGCAAAAATGGAGGCTCTAGACCCTTCCAGAGCTGAGATATCGAAATTCAAAATTTCGACCAGAAAAAAAAACGACAGTGTTACCCCTTACGTTTTTTTTTTTGGGCGAAAAATTAAGTATCCCCAATCTTCTCAAAACTCTGGATTCTGATAGAGGGCCATGAGACTTAGACCTGAGTGCAACAATGGAGGCTCTAGACCCTTCCAGAGCTGAGATATCGAAAATCAAAATTTCGACCCGAAAAAAAAACGACAGTGTTACCCCTTACGTTTTTTTTTTGGGGGCGAAAAATTAAGTATCCCAATCTTCTCAAAACTCTGGATTCTGATAGAGGGCCATGAGACTAGACCTGAGTGCAACAATGGAGGCTCTAGACCCTTCCAGAGCTGAGATATCGAAACTCAAAATTTCGACCCGAAAAAAAAAACGACAGTGTTACCCCTTACGTTTTTTTTTTTGGGGCGAAAAATTAAGTATCCCAATCTTCTCAAAACTCTGGATTCTGATAGAGGGCCATGAGACTTAGACCTGAGTGCAAAAATGGAGGCTCTAGACCCTTCCAGAGCTGAGATATCGAAAATCAAAATTTCGACCAGAAAAAAAAACGACAGTGTTACCCCTTACGTTTTTTTTTTTTTGGGCGAAAAATTAAGTATCCCCAATCTTCTCAAAACTCTGGATTCTGATAGAGGGCCATGAGACATAGACCTGAGTGCAACAATGGAGGCTCTAGACCCTTCCAGAGCTGAGATATCGAAATTCAAAATTTCGACCAGAAAAAAAAACGACAGTGTTACCCCTTACGTTTTTTTTTTTGGGCGAAAAATTAAGTATCCCCAATCTTCTCAAAACTCTGGATTCTGATAGAGGGCCATGAGACTTAGACCTGAGTGCAAAATGGAGGCTCTAGACCCTTCCAGAGCTGAGATATCGAAAATCAAAATTTCGACCCGAAAAAAAACGACAGTGTTACCCCTTACGTTTTTTTTTGGGTGGGCGAAAAATTAAGTATCCCTAATCTTCTCAAAACTCTGGATTCTGATAGAGGGCCATGAGACTTAGACCTGAGTGCAACAATGGAGGCTCTAGACCCTTCCAGAGCTGAGATATCGAAAATCAAAATTTCGAACCAGAAAAAAAAAACGACAGTGTTACCCCTTACGTTTTTTTTTTTGGGCGAAAAATTAAGTATCCCCAATCTTCTCAAAACTCTGGATTCTGATAGAGGGCCATGAGACATAGACCTGAGTGCAACAATGGAGGCTCTAGACCCTTCCAGAGCTGAGATATCGAAATTCAAAATTTCGACCAGAAAAAAAAAACGACAGTGTTACCCCTTACGTTTTTTTTTGGGGCGAAAAATTAAGTATCCCCAATCTTCTCAAAACTCTGGATTCTGATAGAGGGCCATGAGACTTAGACCTGAGTGCAACAATGGAGGCTCTAGACCCTTCCAGAGCTGAGATATCGAAAATCAAAATTTCGACCCGAAAAAAAAAAACGACAGTGTTACCCCTTACGTTTTTTTTGGGGGGCGAAAAATTAAGTATCCCCAATCTTCTCAAAACTCTGGATTCTGATAGAGGGCCATGAGACTTAGACCTGAGTGCAACAATGGAGGCTCTAGACCCTTCCAGAGCTGAGATATCGAAAATCAAAATTTCGACCCGAAAAAAAAACGACAGTGTTACCCCTTACGTTTTTTTTTGGGGGGGGGGCGAAAAAATAAGTATCCCCAATCTTCTCAAAACTCTGGATTCTGATAGAGGGCCATGAGACTTAGACCTGAGTGCAACAATGGAGGCTCTAAACCCTTCCAGAGCTGAGATATCGAAAATCAAAATTTCGACCCGAAAAAAAAACAACAGTGTTACCCCTTACGTTTTTTTTTTTTTTGGGCGAAAAATTAAGTATCCCCAATCTTCTCAAAACTCTGGATTCTGATAGAGGGCCATGAGACATAGACCTGAGTGCAACAATGGAGGCTCTAGACCCTTCCAGAGCTGAGATATCGAAATTCAAAATTTCGACCAGAAAAAAAAACGACAGTGTTACCCCTTACGTTTTTTTTTTGGGCGAAAAATTAAGTATCCCCAATCTTCTCAAAACTCTGGATTCTGATAGAGGGCCATGAGACTTAGACCTGAGTGCAAAAATGGAGGCTCTAGACCCTTCCAGAGCTGAGATATCGAAAATCAAAATTTCGACCAGAAAAAAAAACGACAGTGTTACCCCTTACGTTTTTTTTTTTTGGGCGAAAAATTAAGTATCCCCAATCTTCTCAAAACTCTGGATTCTGATAGAGGGCCATGAGACTTAGACCTGAGTGCAACAATGGAGGCTCTAGACCCTTCCAGAGCTGAGATATCGAAACTCAAAATTTCGACCCGAAAAAAAAACGACAGTGTTACCCCTTACGTTTTTTTTTTTTGGGCGAAAAATTAAGTATCCCCAATCTTCTCAAAACTCTGGATTCTGATAGAGGGCCATGAGACTTAGACCTGAGTGCAACAATGGAGGCTCTAGACCCTTCCAGAGCTGAGATATCGAAATTCAAAATTTCGACCAGAAAAAAAAAAACGACAGTGTTACCCCTTACGTTTTTTTTTTGGGCGAAAAATTTAGTATCCCCAATCTTCTCAAAACTCTGGATTCTGATAGAGGGCCATGAGACATAGACCTGAGTGCAACAATGGAGGCTCTAGACCCTTCCAGAGCTGAGATATCGAAACTCAAAATTTCGACCCGAAAAAAAAAACGACAGTGTTACCCCTTACGTTTTTTTTTTTGTTTTTTTGGGCGAAAAATTAAGTATCCTAATCTTCTCAAAACTCTGGATTCTGATAGAGGGCCATGAGACATACACCTGAGTGCAACAATGGAGGCTCTAAACCCTTCCAGAGCTGAGATATCGAAAATCAAAATTTCGACCCGTAAAAAAAAACGACAGTGTTACCCCTTACGTTTTTTTTGGGGGGGGCGAAAAAATAAGTATCCCCAATCTTCTCAAAACTCTGGATTCTGATAGAGGGCCATGAGACATAGACCTGAGTGCAACAATGGAGGCTCTAGACCCTTCCAGAGCTGAGATATCGAAAATCAAAAATTCGACCCGTAAAAAAAAACAACAGTGTTACCCCTTACGTTTTTTTTTTTTTGGGCGAAAAATTTAATATCCCAAATCTTCTCAAAACTCTGGATTCTGATAGAGGGCCATGAGACATAGACCTGAGTGCAACAATGGAGGCTCTAGACCCTTCCAGAGCTGAGATATCGAAATTCAAAATTTCGACCAGAAAAAAAAAACGACAGTGTTACCCCTTACGTTTTTTTTTTTTGGGGCGAAAAATTAAGTATCCCCAATCTTCTCAAAACTCTGGATTCTGATAGAGGGCCATGAGACTTAAACCTGAGTGCAAAAATGGAGGCTCTAGACCCTTCTAGAGCTGAGATATCGAAAATCAAAATTTCGACCAAAAAAAAAAAAACGACAGTGTTACCCCTCACGTTTTTTTTTTTTTTGGGCGAAAAATTAAGTATCCCCAATCTTCTCAAAACTCTGGATTCTGATAGAGGGCCATGACACATAGACCTGAGTGCAACAATGGAGGCTCTAGACCCTTCCAGAGCTGAGATGTCGAAACTCAAAATTTCGACCAGAAAAAAAAAACGACAGTGTTACCCCTTACGTTTTTTTTTTGGGCGAAAAATTAAGTATCCCCAATCTTCTCAAGACTCTTGATTCTGATAGAGGGCCATGAGACTTAGACCTGAGTGCAACAATGGAGGCTCTAGACCCTTCCAGAGCTGAGATATCGAAACTTAAAAATATAATTTGACACAAGAGGGCAGTATAGCCCTATTTATGGTTTTGTTAAACTGTGACATCTACACGTTTTCCAAAATGGACCAACGTGATTATTTCATGTCTTGTCGTGATACCGGGTGCGGCTGGCTTGACCGTGTATTTTCCATGTGCAGCCCACTTGACCGCAGTCTCAGAACAGCGCATCAGCAGTGAACGCAAACATGTTTAACCGGCAAGGCTTTAAGCATATGCAAATTAACTTTTGTGAACTCGCTGAACTGATGTAACGTTAGCCGTTCCTCTGCGTTAATATTGCGAGTATTTGTCGCGTTGTAAGTTACACTAATGGCAGTGCTGTTGAGACGGAGGTGTCAGAACTGCAACTGACAGAATGCACGATATTTCTACAAAAGCAGTCAGCAGCTTGATTGGAGCAAGAATCATAGCGCAAATTTGAACTATATCGATATATCGCCCAGCCCTGGTGACCTGTGATGTTCTTGTCAACTGACGACGATACTCAGCGCGAGAGCGACTGATACGAAATTGAGCAGGTGAACAAGCTGAACCAATTAGACATTCTCTCTATAGACATTTCACAAGATGTAAACAACACTGGTCCAGAAGCACTTCCTGTTTCAGTTTGTAACTGCTTTCTTTATTTCACATGTAAAGAAAACATCTTAAAAATGTTTGTTTAACTTTTTGATTCAGTTTTACATGTTCTGCTGGTTGTATTTTATCCCAGCTTTTATGTAGTGTTAAAAAACTGAAACAGGAGTGCTTCTGGACCAGTGTTGTTAACATCTTGTGAAATGGTCTATATACGTCCTTGTTGATACTTTGAAAGGAACTTTCTGTACGTCAGTCAGCCAGTTATGGGTTATGTGCTCTTATTCTCTCCTTTTCAGTCCGGCTGCCGACACCAGTCCCCCTCCTCCTCCTTTTTTTTTTAACAGATCTGCATGATTCACGTAGGCCACAATTTTAGGTCGGAAAATCCGGAATTCCGGATTAATCCGGAAAAATCACATCCCTGATCAATAAAATAGTAAATTAAAATCCGCTGGGGGTGGATGGGACTAAACGTGATAAACAATCAGCCAAGGTCCAATATTCAAGCAATGTCTGCCTGTGCGTTGACTGCCTCGGAGAATGGAAAATTAGAATAACTTGTGCAAAGTGTCCATAGCAAAGGATGGGGCTGGTGATTGATTTCTGGTAATTAAAGGGATAGTTTACTTTGAAATTAATTTTTGATATGTTTTAGCTTACCTCAAGGGCATCCAAGATGTAGGTGTCTTTGTTTCCACAGTATTTTCAATTTTGACATTTTGCCATCATCATTCTGCCAGTCATATAATGGAGGTCTATGGTCACCACCTCAAAGAGCATGCACAGAGAAGTCCAAATTAAACATGATTTAATGACTCGTAAATGTAAGTACACATTGATGGCCTAAGACACGAAATGAGCGGTTTGTGAGAGAAAACAAACAGTATTTATATCGTTTTTACCTCGTGTAGCCACAGCCATGTCCAACTGAACCGAACTGAACCGTGTCCAACGTCCCGCCGGAAGTGATTGCTTTCGTGTGTACGTCACTCATTGTTTACACAGAGATTTCGGAAGTTTTACCTTTCACTGTGAAGATCTAAACATATTTAGATGTACAGAAAATCGCAATGGAAGACGATTTTGATATATCTAAATATGTTTAGTGAAAGGTAAAACTCCTGAAATCTCTGTGTAAACAATGAGTGACATACACACGCAAACGATCACTTCTGGCGGGACATTGGACACGGTTCAGTTCAGTTCAGTTGGACATGGCTGTATTATATGACTGATAGACAACAACGGTTTGACCGAAAAATATTACAATTTAAACTACTGTGGAAACAAAGACACCTACATCTCGGATGCCCTTGAGGTAAGCTAAAACATATCAAAAATTAATTTTAAAGTGAAATATCCCTTTAACAATTACAAAATAACAGGACAGAGATGGGAGTGAGGGAATGGTTAATTTATTTGTATGCACTGCAAGTTGTACTCACATCAGACATAAGCATCCAGAACCTTCCCCACTCCTGGTGTCTTCTGCTGTTGGAAGTACTATGATGTTCTGACTCCTGTTGTCTACGGCATCTGGCAGCTTCTCCTGGATAGGAATTCGGTCAGCTCACTGAAATGCGAGAACAGGCCCATGACGCGCTTTACGTCAATAACAGGACAAATACATACAAAGAGCCATAACTACTTGTATAGGTAGTTTATTTAAGTTCAAACCTATTTGACAACATATTACCACAAAAATAAATAAATCAACAGACCACACAGAGCAGACCTCGCTCGCTCGCTCGCACTCACTCTTTTTCTCTCGTGTTCACCCTCATCACTCTCTGCATAACGGTTTAAACAAACAACAACAATAAATAAATGTTGTGTGCTGATCAAGAGTTTTGTGCAAGCAATTTAAGGTCGCGACGCTTGTCCCATAACGTTACCCAGACAGCAAACTGACATTGAATCAACGTGGAAACGACGTCTCTCATGACATTGAAACAACGTTGATTTTGCTCATCGAATTAACGTTGAACCAACGTCAGACGCGGCATTCTTCAAAGCTAAATGAAAATCGAAAATTGGTTTGCTTTCATAACGTTGAAACAACGCGTTGATTTCAAGTTGATTTTCCGTTAGTTTTGAAAGAATGACGCGTCTGACGTTGGTTCAACGTTAATTCGATGAGCAAAACAATGTCAGATCAACGTTGTTTCAATGTCATATTTCCACGTTGATTCAATGTCTGTTTGCTATCTGGGTAGCTGGCTTCATTCGGTGATTGAAATAAATATTATTAACATTAATTCAAGTTTTGCAGTATAGAGAAACGATATTGAACGCTCCGAGCGAGCTTGTAACTTTTTCTTGGCATGAAACAGTAAATAACCAAACCAGTGGAAGCCTGCAGTGCATGAAACTGTTGTAACTAACTTAATCAAACCTATCATGCAATAACTAAGTTATACCCAGTCTATGGTTATACCAGGCAACAGCGCGCCGCGCCCAGTCGGAAAGCAGACAGCCGCGCTACCGCGGGGGTGTTTTTCCACATTCGAATATTCATTTTCAGTTTTTAAAACTTTTTGAATATATATTCGGATTTAGAACATTCTTTGACAGCCCTAAATGAGATTCGAGCTAGCTAGCCAATCCATCCAAACAGTGAAATAAACATATGGACATCAACGTTACTTCAGGCAGATTAAAATAGCATCAATTTGTGAAGAACAAGGTTGCAAATGTTAGCAATTACCAGTAACGTTACGTACCCGATTTCAACCCAGATAGCAAACTGACATTGAATCAACGTGGAAATATGACATCGAAACAACGTTGATCTGACATTGTTTTGCTCATCGAATTAACGTTGAACCAACATCAGACGCGTCATTCTTTCGAAACTAACGGAAAATCAACTTGAAATCAACGCGTTGTTTCAACGTTATGAAAGCAAACCAATTTTCGATTTTCATTTAGCTTTGAAGAATGCCGCGTCTGACGTTGGTTCAACGTTAATTCGATGAGCAAAATCAACATTGTTTCAATGTCATGAGAGACGTTGTTTCAACATTGATTCAATGTCAGTTTGCTGTCTGGGAATGGACTGATGGAAGAATAAATGTTATCTAATCAAAGCAGACGAAACCGTCCATCCACTCAGATAACGAGAACTAATAACGTTTTATTTACGCTATAAAAATACATGTGTAACGGTAACAGTAAATTACATAACGTGAAGATAACTTACCTTCGTCCCAGAATTGCTTCTTTTCCGTCTTCTTGAATGACGGCTTACTCCCAGAATGTACGTTTAGAACTAACCGCCTAAAAATTAAAAATTCAGACCGCGAAGATCCCATGATGCAACGCGGTGGCTGTAAAACCATTGTAAAACTCCGTGAATACAGTGAAATTACAATAATAATACAGGTCCATTAATTTCCCATGGTGCATTGCCTTTTACAGGTAAAACGCAAATACAATACATTGTTGTAAAATTTCCTGTAAAAATTACATCAATTGCTAACAGTGTGCAGTTAAAGAAGTTTGAGATCAGTTGAAGCAATAGTTTATGAACTATTAACTGATGTAAGCAAGTTGATAGTCTCTTCACATCCTGATAATTACTAAGTTAATTGGTCTAAAAGTATGCATGTGTATGATCTGTGGAAGGCGTAGGACCACAAAATGTTAGACTCAATCCCAATTCACCCCTTGGCCCTACCCCTTAGTGTCCCGATTCTACATAGCCCTACATAGCCCTCGAAACTGAGATTTTTCAGAGGCACACTCCAAACGGAGGGCTAAGAGAAAAGTTCACGGAATGCATCGGAAATCACCGGCGAGATGGATCGTAAACGGTTAAACATTTAAATTTAGCGCCAGATGATTCCACCACGCACTTTATTTACTCTTATAATAACACTATAGTCGTTTAAATTAAGAAATGATATAATAAATTACCTTTCCGATCAGAAAAGACATACATTTCGAGGAAGGGATGTTATAATCATCATGTTTGTTCACAGTTAAGAGCAGTTGAGCTGTTTGTCAGTTGTTGTCATGGAGAAATCCTGTACAAACTCTGTAACGGCAGAGCCATCGCCGACGACTGATGACGTATCGGGTTCATGAAGGGTTGTTCCATTTCGTAGGGGAATATTTCAACCCCTTGGCCCTTGTGACTCCGTTTTAAGCGCCAAGGGGTACACTCGAAAACAAGGGGTAGGCCAAGGGGTGAATTGGGATTCAGCCTTAGTCCAATCATTGCATGTGATGTTCAACCTGCCTGTTAACATAATTATTTCCATACCTCCATGAACCTGGCTGGCGCAGACATCACACATCTTCAGTGCGTTTCATGCTATTCGGAGTTAGACAGACCTCAGTCAATGAGTCCTGCAACTGAAACAGCAGCCATCTTTTACAGTTCGTCCTGAACCAAAAACATTGAGCTTATGCTGCGTTCACATCATAACTACTGTAATTTAGAAGAAAGCTAACTCGCTATTGTTTACCCTATACCTTTAAATCAGATTTACAAAAATGTGCAGCACATTATTACTATTTAAAGGAGCTTTATGCAAGAAATGTATTTCAATTAATCATAAATATTCCCTGATATGTCACTAGACATAAAGTATGTTCATTTCAAATACT